TCTCCTTTCTTCGCCTCGGCTCGCCTCCGCCTCCTTCTCCTCCTCCTTCCCCCGCCATATCATTCTCTTTCTCTTTCTCTTTCTCTTTCTCTTTCTCTTTCTCCTCCTCCTCCTCCTCCTCCTCCTCCTCCTCCACTACCAACCCCAACCCTCTCTCCCATCGCCGCCGCTGCCACCACCACATCACCACTTCATCATCAGCATCAACATCATCATCGTTGTCAAGTCTCCTTAGCTCATGCGAACACATCACTATTCTTTCCCTTCAATCTTTCACTTCATCTGCTCATTTAATTTTGTTCGCCTTCAGCCGCCCGTCACGAGTGAAAAGATCGTGATCATCTCAGATAGCGATGGGATTTTGGCAGTGAACAAGCCCTCATCCATTCCCATCCATCCAGGCGGAAGGTCAGTCAAGTTCTGCTGAGATAAGGCCTCAGACGTCTTATCAGGTATCGCCGAAACTCGCTGCTCGCTATCCTTGCCAAGGTGAAGAACCTCCTGGTCGATGTCAGCGACGATGATCGGGTAACGACAGGAGCACAACATGTTTGACCTCCATACGGTTCATCGTCTTGATCGTCTGACCTCTGGCCTCTTGCTTTTCGGTCCGTGCCTTTCGTCCCCGTCCGCTCTCGCTCAGTCTCCTTCCAGGTCGATCGAAGGCTGTCGCAGAGATGTTCCGGCGTGAGTTCGAGGACGGCAACGTGCAGAAGCAGTACCTCGCTCGAGTTGCCTGCCCTGCCTCTCTCCCCTCCTCTCACCTTCACCAGGTCCTCGGGCATGTGCCCCCGGGAACGACGCTGGTGGATCAGCCGTTGGCTTGCAAGAACCACCGGGAGGCCATACATGAGATCAGCTCCGACGTGAGTCGAACGCGGGAGGGGCTGGTGCTGATGACATGCCAGGGGAAACCTTCGCAGACTCGCGTCACGCTGCTGGCGACTGGTGTAGGCGAGCTGGAGGGACAGTCGCTGGTGCTGTGTGAGCCGTTGACCGGTCGAACTCATCAGATTCGCCTCCACCTGCAGTAGCTGAACAAGACGTCGGTCGCCCTGTGCTCACCATCGCCCAGGTGGCTCGGATGCCCCATCGCCAATGATCCGCTCTATGGCCCTGCTGGAGTCGGAAGCACGTCCACAGCAGAGCAGTCTGCTGATCCGCCAGGCGAGCATGAAGCGACTTGCTCTGTCGGAGAGGCAGACAGCCAAGACGCTGTGGGCAAGCGAGACCTTGACACTGCTCTACCTCGAACGAACAAGAAGAGAAGAACAGAGCTGGGCATCATCTCCGAGGTCTTTCTCCTCCATCTCTCTCCCCCCGCTCGCTCACCTGCAGCTCTGGCAGGAATCAGCTCGCCATGACGAGTCGTTGAACCTCGACGCCAACGGGTGGATGGATGCAGGAAGGACTTGAGGCTGAGGCAGAAACTCCGCTGACTGAGGTGGCTCGTGCAGACTGCATCCACTGCCGCGCTTGTCGTGCTGAGGGCTGCAAGGGATACTATGTTCCCCTCAAGAAGAAGGTGGGAAGGAGGGGGATGAGAATTAGTGACATCAACCCAGCATGATGACTCCAACGCCATGCTCATATGGCTTCATGCCTTGACAAACAAGGTGGCGAAAGGAGAGGAAGAGGACTGCGAATTTATGCTGATGCAGGGGGCGACGTGGAGCTTCAGGACTCCTTTCCCATCATGGGCCGAAGAGTTTGAAGGTGCTGGAAACTGTTTCAGGTTGATTGCAAACTCAATATGATGAACAGAAGCATCGCAGTTGCTGTCAAAGATCGATAAGCTTGAACAGGCAAAATGAACTCTGGCATGCAAGACTGGCATCCTTTATGATATCCTTTCTCTTGTTCCCTTTGGTTTCCTACTGGCATCCTTCTGATATCCTTTCTCTTCTTCCCTTTCGTTTCCTACTGGCATCCTTATGATATCCTTTCTCTTCTTCCCTTTCGTTTCCTACTGGATTTACTCCTGGCAACATGATCGTCCTACGGTCCTCGCCAAACTTGTTTCAGCAAACCTCCCCTGCCGCAGCATCGCTGTTGTTTCTCCTGCATTTGATCTTCGTCTTCCTGCTGCCAGCTGCGAGCGAGCAATCGCAGCTGCGCGAAGATGACCGCGTTTGCTGGCTTTCTACATAAGACTCGTGAGCTCTCCGGTTCCTTCCTAGTCGCTGACAGCAAGTCGAGAAGGAAAGCTCAAGGTGGCAGATAGAAAGGACAGAGAGAGTATAGTGCTGTATGGTAACTGAAATGCAACAGACCTCTTTGATTGTTGATCATCATTTTTAACTTAGGAATACAAGTAGTTATCATATGCAACATTTGGATCACTTAATCTTGCATTTACACATGTCACTGCTGCAAGGATTGTCGAGAGTAAAGTCAGTCTGGAGTAAATTTCAAAGGCTGGGAGGCAGTTGCGAACTCTGTGGATGACACGCTCGCGTGTTTGGCTCTTGCTAACTGAATGCTTCTGAGAAGAACCTTCCCTTCCCCGTCATCCACCGAAGGCCTTCTGCAAGATAGACGGCTGAGCGCTTGCGAGTTGAAATGTTGTCTTACGTAAGCCCGTTGGGTGTGATTGAGGTGAAAGGCTCTTGTCGGCCGTGAGGAAGTTGTCTGAGAGTCGCAGTGCTCCAGGAAGAGAATGTAGGATGAGGGTGCAGGAGACATTGGAAGACAATCCAAAGTTGCAACACCAACCAGAACGCAATGCTGTACGGTTGTTGAACACACAAGTGGCAACACCAATCAGAACGCAATGCTGTACGGTTGTTGAACACACAAGTTGCAACACTAATCAGAACGCAATGCTGTACAGTTGTTGAACACACAACCTCCGGTACCTCGGATGACCAAGAGTAGCGGGAGCAACGGTACGAGATAGCACGAAAACAGCCACGTTGATTGTTTCGAAACTTATTTTAAAAATGTCAGCATTGCCCAACCTAAGGGTGGGGTGGTTTTCATAGTCTGTGGCAGGGTACTTCGGACTGAGCAAGAAATGTACTTCGAAGGGGGGTACGGTCGTCAGTGGGGAATGAGGGGGGTAGGGGGTGGCCGAAGCTGCGCCGTGACGCCAGTTGATTGGCCCAAGGGTCAGCAGGGGACGAGCCTCCGACCTCCGAAGCCTCCGAAGCCTCTGAGGAGCCCGGGATCAAGTTGCGGGCTCGCCGCGGCCGACCCGGACCCGGAGTCGACTCAGGAGTCGACTGAGCTCACTGAGTGGCACTCCGAAACTCAGGCTCCGATGGCCGGGCCGGGCGGCACGCGGCGGCGCGGCCTGCCGCAGTGCCGCAGCCTCCGAGACACACTGGCAGTCACTGAGTGCCCCGGCGACTCACTGTCAGCGCCGGCCCCCCCCGTCCCGCCCCTGACAGTGAGCCGGGCGCGCCGGGGCCCGGGCTGCCGCGGCGCGGGCCGCCGGCACTGCAGATGCCGCCTCAGTGGCCGCCGGGCGGCGGCGGGGGAGATGCCAGTTTGTGAGAAGAAGAACCACTGCGATCAAACGATCGAGGATGTCGGAACATTTCTATCCAACTAGGAGCATTTCACACCCCCGGCCCGAGGCTTCGATCACAGGATCAAGTTGACTGACCTTTAAACACAGGCCCTCTCAACAAGAACTAGCGCTGAAATTTCTCTACTGAGAGGAAAGCAGAGTGACAAGAAGGAGATCTATCTCTCTTTATCCTCACAGACAGAGCAATGTCAGAAACAATATGTGATTTGAATAAACTTAGCCTGAATGACCCGGCCCACCGGGGTTGTCTGACTGAGCGTAGTCTTATGTGCATCAAGTGTGGTAGACTTTGACCAACTCTGACGAAGTGACATGAGATTGTCCGGAGCAAGGGTAATACAGTGCATCAGTCCATTCACACGATAAGCGAGAGGACAGCTGAATGCATATCGGTAGTATCTGTGGAATCATGTTTATGATAATGGATCATCATCATGCCCTAATGCACTCTTGCCATGCAGTCAACCGTAGGAGTGGCAGTAGGCAGCAAAGAGAGCAAAAAGAGTTCAACCTTGCATAACTTGCCATCACGCCATCGCATCCTAGTTGAGTTGTAGTTCAAACAGACAGGACATCATCATCGTGCTTACGAATACAGATTTCTCGACTACTTGGACCTGCTTTCCGAAGAACAAGAGCCTCGGACATGTTCTGATCACGCAGCTATCAATGCTTCAACAGACTCTTACAATCGAGGTATTTATTCATAATCTCAGTACAAAATTGAAGATCAGTCGGTCCTGTGACTGACATGACACAGGCATGGAATGGATGCAAAGAAAGCAGCACCGTAAGCCAAAAGTTTAGTGTACAATCAAATCATTGATTCGAACAAAAATACAACAAGTGATAAAGTTGGCCACTCCACTTCACAAAGCAACCTCGATCCCCATGCAGTTGGTAATTGTCGCGTGATTTTGGATGAGATGAATAGCAGATCTGAGGCATCGTAGCTGCTTCTGCCGCGAAGGTCCCTCAAGGTCGAGGTCTAGTTTGCCTCTTCTACGCTGAGGTGAACTTCTTGCATCCTCGCTCGACCCCATCGAGGACATCCAGTCCAACACTCGTCCATCGTCCAAGACTTCAGTGTCAAGGGAAAACGATTCTTCAAAATCCCTTTGCGCCATGAAGTGATCTGTGGGAGGTAGTCGAGCCTTGACGCGCAATTCAAAGATGATGCCTGAGGGTAGAAGCAGCAGCAAGAGAAGCAGCAGCAGCAGCAGCAGCAGCAGGGACAAGGCAGCAGGGGCAAGAAGGCAGTAGAAGGAAGTGGAGGAAGAAATAAAGATGAGGGGGGCAAGGGTTTCTCTATTTCACAGCTTAAAACCGCACAATCTTTACAGCTGTTGCAACCCTTTATTGAACTACCCCACCCCTCCTTCGACAGAGAGACCGAGGGTGCATGAGGGGTACTGCTGCAAGGGGCTCGTTTGGGTCACAACTCAAATGATGAGTTACGGCAGATGACTTGAAGTCCCCCCCGGGCCCGCAAACCGTTTAGGTTATCGTCCGATGAGTGAAAAAGAACTGAAGTGACTGGTACTAAGGCACTGCCCTGTAACTTGAATCAGCCTGTCTCCAGGCACGGTACAGCATGACCGTGAAGGAGGCTGGTCACGCCGCCGGACACACCGTCCATGCGCTCGTACGGTCACGGCGCGCGGCGGCGACTCACAGCCGCTGAGCGGCGCCCGGGCCCGACTCCGTCGGACCGCCACTGTCAGCGGGCAGGCCGCCCGGGGGCCCGGGCCCGGGTCGGGCCCGCGGGGGAGGGGGGGGCGGTCATGATACCGGCGTACGGCAGTACGGTACGACGGTACGCCGGTCACTCCGTAGTACCGTCGCCGGCGCCCAAACTCGGGGATTCCCCCGCGGCCCGGGCGGCGAGCCTCCGAGTCATCCCCAGTTAGCCGCTACTACTACCGCCTGCCAGTCACGATGATGAACTGCCGCAGCCCCCCCGTAGTGCACTGAGCCGCCGCAGTGCACGGACTCATCCGGGAACTCGGAACTGCGGGCCGGCCCGGCCAGTTGACTCAGTGAGTTCGCCCGGACGGTTACGGTAGAACGGTAGTACTGAGCGTCACTACTACTAGAGTCAGTCACGGCACCGGGGGCTCAGTGAGCCTCGGCGGCGGCTCGCCGGGCGGCGCACACGAGCCTCTGAGGCCGCAGGATCTTGGTCTGCTGATCAAGTTGGTTGACGCCTAGTACTCTAGTAGTTCACAGTCTGCTACCGCAGTGTACAGACGTAGAACACTGAGTGGCAGAGTCAGAAATGATTCCAATAGACTCGCTGAGCACTCGGGCCGGCGGCGGCGGTTCAGCTGCCGCCCTTCCGGGCACGGTTGGTATGAACTAACATTTATCACCGTGATCGATCACCGGATCACACCAACTTAGTGGGTATGAATATGGATATCGATCACGCTAATGCTTCATCGTTCGTCTAGGTCTATTAGTCGCAGAAGGTTTAAAAGAGTCTGGACCTCCGCCACCCGTGCAGCATCGCCGAAATGATTTTCAGTGTCGCCAGTGATTCTGTTGCTTCCCTGAGAGCGATCGAGCAAGAGCTGCTCGTGATCCAGCAGGTAGATGTTCAGCTTCCTCTTGGACCTGCCTCTCTCGCCGCAGCAAGCTTGCATAGCCCTTACGGCTCGATCAGCAGTCTGCCGTGAGACCCCAAACGAGGTGATGCTCGGAGAAGCTTTCCAGCTAGCGATCTTGGCACTTTCCCACACCGAACCATTCACGAAGAGCAGACTTTTTGCGATGTTGTTTACGGCCCTGATAGCAGGAACAATGTTGCTCCCAGACGAATAGGGCGCAGTCCTCCATATCCCGTGCGGTGTCTTGCCCATACTGCACAAGTCACAGACCGCAGTCTGCAGGCAGAGGACGAATCTGTCTGGACACTCCCCGACGCATCGAGACCCGTGATCGATCACGTGATGCAGACCGTAACCCAACATGACCTGAGTGTACGCCTCCCCCGCTCGACGGACCACATGGCATTTCCCTGGTCCGTGCACATACACACCCTCGTTCCAAAAGAAATGTAGAGAGCTGCTTCTATTGCGCTGCTTGTATTCTCTGTGCAGCTGGTCGTGCCATCCTGTGGACAGCTTGCTGTTAGCAATGCTGCGAAACCCTTTCTGACTTGAAAGCAAGACATCGAAAGTGTTTGTTAAACGACGAGTCAAAGAGTCCCCGTTAAGCGACAAGTGCTTTCCATTCATAATTTCATGTGCTTGACGCCAGTCAAACATTCGAAAACCGCATTTGAGGGGTGACTGAGACACAAACACATCTGCAAGCCAGTACCCCTTGGTGATGCTCGAGATACATGCTCGCACGTCATGATCCTGGAGCAATCTAGAGAATGACTTTAACCCTGGACGCATCCAACTATTGGCCAGCAGAGTAGTCAACCTTGTCTTATCTAGAGGCAAGCTCTTATTCTGAGCCGATTCTGCATCGAGCACCTCCGCTGCCATGGATGGAGATGAGCTATGTGACGTGTTTGATCCCGTCTGGTTGATCGGATACAGACGCGAGGAAGCCTCAGGCTCATGGAGAGCTGACTCACCCTCACGGGGCCCTAGCCTCGCCATAACGATGACGCCAACGACTACTCCAGCCATGAATCCTACCCCGCTGCGCGCCATGAAGAGACCCAGTAGGGTTTAAAGTTGATAGGGAAACACCCCTCCTCAGTACGCTAACTACTACTAATAGTTACTACTACAGCAAAAATGAACAGCGTAGTGCCCACTTTAGTTAACCATGAGGAAGGGGTTAAAAAGATTAGGTTACCCAGTTTAATTTTGATCGTTTAACTTGAAGAATGATCTAGGTTGGGGTGGACAGCAGTCGGCAGGATTCGGTTTTGGTTCTCGCTGTCTTTTCTCTTCTCGCCGTTTGGCCGGGGCGGCCCTGTGACTGGCGGCGGCGACAGTGTCAGGGTCAAGCCTCCTCGACTCTCCTGATTGTCCTCGTACTGATTTTAACTTAACTTTGAGTAAAGGTGATCCGGAGGCTAGTTGAAGAATGATCTAGGTTAGGCTAGTGGCCCAGGCTCGGATCACTGGGCCGATATCAACTTGGCTGGCAAGGTCACGCCGGGTGCTATGCCAGTCCGACCGTGGGTCTTTGTGGGTCACTAGTGACTCAGTCCGACTGTCCGATCAAACCGTCCGAACGGTCAGAGCCTGTGGCAAGTTCCGAAGTTGAACTTCAACGGCCAAGTTGGCCGCCGCCGGCCGGCAGTTGACCGGGCCGGCCGACCGGAAGTTCCGAGCGACCCGGGTACTGAAACGGGCAAATGCCGGAATTAGATCATGGAGGGCAGGAGGGAGGCGTTGGTAGAGGCGAGGGATAGTAGAGGCGAGGGATAGGAGAGGCGAGGGATAGGAGAGGCGAGGGATAGGAGAGGCGAGGGATAGTAGAGGCGAGGGATAGGAGAGGCGAGGGATAGTAGAGGCGAGGGATAGTAGAGGCGAGGGATAGTAGAGGCGAGGGATAGTAGAGGCGAGGGATAGTAGAGGCGAGGGAGGGATAGTAGAGGCGAGGGATAGGAGAGGCGAGGGATAGGATAGGCGAGGGATAGTAGAGGCGAGGGATAGTAGAGGCGAGGGATAGTAGAGGCGAGGGATAGTAGAGGCGAGGGATAGGATAGGCGAGGGATAGTAGAGGCGAGGGATAGTAGAGGCGAGGGATAGTAGAGGCGAGGGATAGTAGAGGCGAGGGATAGTAGAGGCGAGGGATAGTAGAGGCGAGGGATAGTAGAGGCGAGGGATAGTAGAGGCGAGGGAGGGATAGTAGAGGCGAGGGATAGTAGAGGCGAGGGATAGTAGAGGCGAGGGATAGTAGAGGCGAGGGATAGTAGAGGCGAGGGATAGGATAGGCGAGGGATAGGAGAGGCGAGGGATAGGAGAGGCGAGGGATAGGAGAGGCGAGGGATAGTAGAGGCGAGGGATAGTAGAGGCGAGGGATAGTAGAGGCGAGGGATAGTAGAGGCGAGGGATAGTAGAGGCGAGGGATAGTAGAGGCGAGGGATAGTAGAGGCGAGGGATAGTAGAGGCGAGGGATAGGAGAGACGAGGGATAGTAGGTCAGGAAGGGGATCAGTTGCACCAGACTACTATCACCTTTCTAAATTGCCTCTGACATGAAGTGAGAAGATGAAGTCCAGCATGGCAGCGGCATGGCGAGCGAAGGCTGTTGCTGCTCTAGCACTGCTCATGTCTGTCGCTGTCGTCTACCTGATTGCCAGCGACGAGCATGGGTGAGTTCCTATCGCTGATTCTGTTATTCCCCATGAACTTTCGCTCATGTTGTTCTTGCTCATGAATCTGCAGCAGCACAAGCATGTTGACGTCAATACACACGGTGACGGTAGAGAGAAGCCTTCCCTTGAGAGCTGACATTGTGCAGAGGGAGACTGGGGGGCTCTCCCAACTGAAACTGCAGCTGAAGGCTCGGGAGCGCGTGCAGAAGGAAGTAGAGAAGTATGCAGAGAAGAGCGAAGGCGCCGATGACGAGAAACAAGGAGCAAGACATACGTCGGACTCCTCGATCAAAGCGCAACTGGATGCTCTGCAAGAAAAGTTTCAGAAGCGAGTGAAGGAGGCGGAGAAAGAGGAAGCAGCGAGGATTGACCAGCTCAAAACAAAGTTTGAGCACGAGGAGGAGAAAGTGAAAAGCTCCACAGCGCAAAAGTTTCACGAGCTGGAAAAGGAGGAGAAGGAGCAGGAGAAAGTCAGCTTTTGATCTAGCTTGCTCCGTTCATCTCCTCACGCTCGTCCAGGCTCTCCAGGAGACAAATCAAGAAGCGAAGCTGAAAGCTCAGCTAAAGTCTGTCAAGGTGCCCACCCTCGTCTGCTCTGCCATACTCTGCTGCCACTGCCCCTGCTTGTTTCCTTCTCGATTCGTCCTCTGCCAAGTTCTGGTCCATCCTGACTCGCTGTCTTCCTCGTTTCCTGTCCTCTATCTAGTCGCCCTCGACCTTGCCTGCTCGCACTTCTCCTTCTTGATCCTTCTGCAGGCTATGGAGCAAGCAAAGACTTTGCAGCTAGAGAAGAAGCTCAACGCTATTCGTCACCTCGAGAACAAGTTCTCTGACAGCAAGCAGCAGCAGGTGCAGCATCATCTTCCCCTTCCCTTCCCCTCCCCCTTCCCCTTCTCTCCCCCCTTCATTCGTTCATCCTTCCCCATATGCTTCTCTTTGTTTTTCTCTTTGTTCTCCTCGTCTGTTTCTTTGGGTAAATTCACCTCACCCCACTCTTCTTCTCCTCTTCCAGGTCAAGCCAGCACAGCAGGCGCTTGCTCCTTCGCACGACAAGAAGGACAGACACCAAGAGAAGGAAGAGAAGCAGGGAGAGGAGAAGCAAGTCCGCAAGTCGCAGAGGAAGGAGGAAGCCGAGGGACAGGAGCAGGTGAAGGAGCAGGCAGCGAGCGATGGGTAGGAGAAGCTTCACCTGAGCGACTTGATGACTCATCAGTACCAGGAGCTCCACCACTCAACTTGCAGAGAACAATCAGCACAAGGTGAAAACCTCCTTCTCCTCCACTCCCTTGTGTCTTCACATGTTGATGATGATGGTACAGATCAAGCACAAAGCCCAGCATGCGACGTGAGAGTGTATTCTGCTGCTTCATCCCGATAATTTTCCCTCCTCCTCTTTGCAGCGCCGCTAAGTCTCATCCTCTCACGCGCTTCGAGCGGTGAGTGTCGATCATTCTTCCTCCTCTTCTCATTTCGCTCGTCAGGCTCGTCCAGTGGGCTGAGGCACATGGACTTCCGAAGAAGCTTGCAGACAACCCCGCGGACAAGGATAAGGTTCCTCCTGTCCTCAGTCCTCGTCCTCGTCACTCCTCCAGCTCCTCTTCCTCCTCCTTGCTTCCCGCGTTCCTTCTGCTTTTCTCGTCGTGCCTCCTGTTGTCTCCTCACCCTTCATGCTCCTCCTGTTGGCTCGTCATACGTTTTCACGTCCTCCCCGTCCTCGTCTGACGTTCTCTTGACGCTCCTTCTCTTCTCCTCACGTCGTCGCAGGTGCGGAGGATCATCGCACGGATGAAGGCGGACGAGGTGGTGGAGCAGATGAAGCACAAGTTCTCGCACTACGAGAAGTGAGACTCAGGAGCAGAGAGGAGGGAGAGAGAGGAGGGAGAGCAGAGCAGAGCAGAGCAGAGCAGAGCAGAGCAGAGCAGAGCAGAGCAGAGCAGAGCAGAGCAGAGCAGAGCAGAGCAGAGCAGAGCAGAGCAGGAGAGGATAGGGAGAGCGGGCGAGTCACACAAGATGGAGAGGGTGGTTGGGGATGTTCAGGGCATGTGGATAATGATGCTGAGGGAGGGTAGGGGGGAGGAGAGTCTTAGAAATGAAGAGACCCGACGCTGACGAGTGCAACAGGATGGTCTCTAACGTGGTGAAGACGGCAGAGGATGACAGCGCCATGAACTAAATGAGCGAGGGAGGAAAAAGGATGAGGAGGAGGAGGAAAAGGTTGTGGTGGAGGGGACAAGGGAGAAGGAGGGGAGGAGTTGGAACAAGTTTCAAGTGGTTAGATGGCCGCGAGACGGGTCAGCTGTGATCGATGTGAATCGATAGGGGAGAGCGCGGAGTTGATGTGTCTGAATGAGATCAGGGGGAGCGAGGGAATGGACTTGCGGAGGATGAGCAGGAGGATGGAGCTGGTGGCGTTGGGGATGAAAGAGATTGAAACAGGAGGAGGAAGATCAAGAAGGAGAGGAGGACTGAGAGTACTCTGGATGTTTTATTAAATCACAAGTGCCATTTGTCAGTCACTTTGATTGGCCCGCTCAAGCTCGCCTGCCACGAGGAGACTCAGAAGAGGAGAGGCGAACAAGAAGGCGACACGATCAACATGAGGCAGGAGGTTCAGGAAGAAGAGTTGAGAGGTTAGCAGAATAAGACATACGAGGAGGGGGAGGAGGGGAGGAGGGGAGGAGGACGTACCTCCTTGGCCTTCTGCTTAGTCTGGAGATCTTTGAGCTCCTTCTCCTCTGTCTTAGCGAAGAGTGAATGCTTCCCCTGAAACTGCCGCATGAGCTGCGCCCGCTCCTGTACCACACTCGTCATCCTTCCCGCTCCTCGCAGTCTTCGTCTCCCTGTCTCCCTCCCCACATCGCCCTCCTCTCTCCCCCCTCCCCTTCCTCACCTGAGCGAGGGCCTTAGTTCCCTTAGTCAGCTTAAGCTGCACCTGCAGGAACATCACCACGAGCAGATAGAGCAGGACGACCACGTAGAGGGAGAGGGAGAGGGAGAGGGAGAGGGAGAGGAGGATAAAGGGAGGTTACAGACACGGCAAGGAGGAGAAGGCTGGAAGGGAGCGGAAGGAGGGTTAACCTTGTGCTTGATTGCTTCCTCTAGCTGGTCTTTGGTTGTTTTTGCGAACTTGTGCTTCAACACTCTTGCAGTCGAATCGAACTTGTGCTGAGCGTTCTTCTCCTGCTCTCCCCTCGTCAGTTCCTCCTCTTTCTCGTCTTCCTCTGACCTTGCTCATCAGACGCTTCGAGAAAGTGAGCATGGCATCTTGATAGGAAGGCTTCTTGCTTGAGGAGGAGGAGGAGGAGGAGGAGGAGGAGGAGGAGGCAAGCTTCGCCTTTGCAGCTTCCCGCAGTTTCTTCATCATCTACAGCCCGTCAGCTCCGCATGTCTCTGTCTGTCGCCTCCTCGTCTACCTCCTTCTTGTGCTTAAGTTTTGGCTCATCCAGCTTCGCTCTCTTGAGGTTCGACTGCAGCATCGCCTGCTCAAACGTCATCGACATCCCCAACAACAGTGACCTGATGCCTTCCTCCTCCTCCTCCTCCTCCTCCTCCTCCTCCTTCCCTCGCTCACCTTCTCCAACATGTCGATCCCATGGACCTTCTTCTGCTCCTCCACCTTCACTTTGTGATGCAGTGACTTATGAAGTAGCCTGGCAAACTGTCACCCTCCACAACCTCTACCAACCTCCTTCCCTGTATCCCCCTCCCCTCCTTTCCCAACCCTTGTCTCTGTTCATCCTCCGCCTCCTCTACCCTACTCACGTCATGTCCTTGGACTGCGGCTTGGTCAGCTCCAGCTCCCTCTTCATGATCATCTCCGCCTCTTTGAGATCATCGGAGCTAACAGCAAGTCAGGAGCTGGGAAAATGAACCTGCGCCCTCCCCACCTGTCGTTCTCATCCTTGGATCTTCCCAGGTCCCTTCCTCTCATCCCAGGAGACGAGCTGAGAAACGAGCTGATCGACTTCTTGTACAACCCCTACCAGCATCTCAGCAAAAATTCTCCCCTTCCCTCTCCCCTCCCTGATCTTCCCCCCTTCCCTGCATCCTTCCTCTTCCTCCTTCCCCAGTCCCTCCCCTTCTCTCTCGCGTGTCTCCAACTGCCTCCCTCACCTCCTGCTCGGTCCTCGTCTTCTTGTTCAGCTCATCCCTCAGCTGGGCCTCGAGCTGCGATTCTGAGATCTGCGAGCCCTTGGCAATATGCCCGGCGTACTTGGCGGCCCCATCGTGGATTCCCTTTATCTTCTTGAGGAACGGCTCTGCCTTTCTCAGCATCGCGTCCTCCCTTTCCTTCGCCTCCTCGTCCAGTCGCTTCCTCAGCGCCAGCTCCTCGCTCGCGTCCCCGTCCGGCGAGCTCGCGGCGTCAGTGACCTTGATCTTCTCCCTCTTCGCCTCCTCCGCCTCCTTCTCCTCGTCCCGCAGAGACTTGAGGTCCTTGCTTGCCAGCGAGAAGGCGTGCGCCTGCTTCTGCTTTACGTCGTTGTCCAGCTCATTCTTCAGCTGAAGCTCCTCCCTGTTCTCCTTCAGCACATCAGCTGGGATCTTCGACTTGGCCATCCTCTTCTCCGCCGCCATCTTCGCGCTCGCCAGCGTCTGCTCGTGGGAGCTGCCCAGCACCTCCTCGGAGCCACCGGACGAGAAGTGAGGGGAGCGAGCAGCCTTGCTCCTCTCAGAGGTCCCTGGCTTGAGCGAGTTGGCAAAGTGAAGGTCGCGGAAGGCAGCAGACTTTTGCTGCAGGCTTGTCGGGGTCACCTGCTCCTCCTCCACTGCCGACAGGGCAGCAAAGGCCAGCAGGCCGACAGCGAGCACCATGAAGATGGCGCTATGGCGCGCTGTGGTCGCCTGAGCTCCGTTCCTCTTGTCATCTCCAGCCCTCAAGGTGCCGCCTGCCTCCACCATGATCGCTGGGCAGACAGGCTGCAGCACAAGCGTGTTAGCAAAGTACGAGGGAGAGAGATGGAGAGAAACTTTAAGAACATGCAGCTATAGCATCATTCCTTGCTGCTGCTGCTGCTGCTGCTGCTGCTGCTGCTGCTGCTGCTGCTGCTGCTGCTGCTGCTGCTGCTGCTGCTGCTGCTGCTGCTGCTGCTGCTGCTGCTGCTGCTGCTGCTGCTGCTGCTGCTGCTGCTATAGAGTTCATTATCGAGCTCTTTCTCCTGCTACTTCTCCTCCTCCTCCTCCTCCTCCTCCTCCTCCTCATGCTAACTTCGTGATACAGGTACATTTCCTGCTGCTTCTGCTGTTTCTGCTTCTGCTTCTGCTGCTGAATTGATGGTAGAGCTCCTGCTCCTGCTACTTCTCCTCCTCCTCCTGCCGCTCCTTCGCCTCCTCGTCAATGCATGCTATGTGGCCAGCATCGATGATGAACGGGTAGTATGACTCTTCGTTCTACAACGGAGTGTAACGCCATGAGTAACGTATATAACGATATCAAACGGTATTTGTAACGGACTTCTGTCCCGAAATAGAGAAGCAAAATGTGGGGGATGCCCGCTAGGAGATAGCGGGGGAAAGAGAGGGAGAGAGGGCGAGAAGAGAAGAAAGTGAGAGAGGAGAGGAGAGGAGAGGAGAGGAAACGAGGAGGACAGGACAGGACAGGACAGGACAGGACAGGACAGGACAGGACAGGACAGGACAGGACAGGACAGGACAGGACAGGACAGGACAGGACAGGACAGGACAGGACAGGACAGGACAGGACAGGACAGGACAGGACAGACCCCAGACAGCATCCATGGCGACAGTGGCAGCAGCTGCTGCTGATCGCGTGTGCCCTGCTGCTGCAAGGAAGAACAGGAACGAGCACAGGAGTGCTGCTGCTGTGGTCCTGTCTGCACTGCTCCTCGTGCTCCTCTCGTTTCATATAGGAGAAGGACAGGGATCGCCGAGGAAAGAGCTGCTAGCAGGAGGATCAGCTGTGGACATCTCAGCCCTTCCCAGTGCAGCAGAGCAGCAAGCATTGACGCACTTACACTTGCATGCGGCGCCTGAGAAGGCGGGTTATGACTCGCTGCTGTCGAACGGTCCCTTCGTGCCCCCGAGGACCAAGATGCTGGAGAAACTCTCGAGGAAGAGCATGCTGGGAGGATCCATCGGCATCGATGGCAGCGTCCACCTCCTCCGGTCCGCCAAACAGATCCTGCAGGACAGGCTGCGATCGCCAGGAGGAGGTATGAAGCAAGTTCCGGCTCCATCAGGCAGGCAGACTGTGGACGAGGCGGCAGGAGAGGAAGGAGAGGATGCGGAGGAGGCGCTGCGGGAGCAGAAGAGGAGGCTGGCAGCGAAGCTGAAGAAGCTGGAGGAGGCGGCGGGGGCCAACGAATTTTACAGCATCAAGGAGCTGAATACTTAACGCTCGAAAGGAGCTCAAGCTGCTGCAGAAGCAGGGAGGAGGAGGAGGAGGAGGAAGAGAGTGATGGACAGTGAACGAGGAGGAGCCGAAAGGCTGCATCGTCTTTGTTTGATTGCAGTACAAGCTACACGCTTTTGTTTGATTGCAGTACAAGCTACACGCTTTTGTTTGATTGCGGTACAAGCTACACGCCTTTGTTTGATTGCGGTACAAGCTACACGCCTTTGTTTGATTGCAGTACAAGCTACACGCTTTTGTTTGATTGCAGTACAAGCTACACGCTTTTGTTTGATTGCAGTACAAGCTACACGCTTTCTACTCTCACGCTCCCCTCGCGCTGCTCAAGTCGTTGGGGGTGTAGCTATCACGATCCTGAGCGAGAGTTAGAGAAGAGAAGGGGAGGGGAGGGACTGAGAAAGAGCGACCAATGCCGAGGGGGAGGGAACAGGAACACTCCACAGAGGGAATCAAGTGAGAAGGTTGAAAGGGGAGGAGAGAAAGTAGGGAGGAGGAGGAGTGAAAGGACGGAAGTGGGGGAGTGCAGTAGATGGAGGGCACCTGGGGAAGGAGCTGGTCAGGGAAGATCTTATAAGTCGTCTTGCCGGGCTCGATATCTCCTCCTCCAGTCTCCACAAGTCCTCTCTGTTGTTAGGTCAGGATGCCGCGGGAGAAAGCGGAAAATGGAGAAATAACAGCAGAGAGGAGACGAGAGGAGACGAGAGGACGAGGAGAGGAAGGGGAGGGGAAGTGGAGGGGAGAGGATTCAGGGATCAAGGAAGGGATGGAGGAGAGAAGGAGAGCGACAGAGGTAGTGGCACCTTGAGGATGACAGACTTTGTCTTGCTGTCGTAGATGTAAACACGCTGGTAGCCCACAAGCGTCTTGTCGTTCCAAAGCTCAAGCCTGGAGGATGAAACCATCACAAGATTCTCATCTCCCGCGCCTCCTTGTCTCACTTGTAGCCCGAGTAGAAGTTTTCTTCCTCCGACAGCTTCGGCATATCCTTGTCTCCCATGCTCGGGTCACTGGCGCCTAGCACGAGGACCTGGCTGCGCTCGGGGTAGAGGTGCCACCCGATCTTGGCCTTGACGGGGCTGAGGCTGGAGCCCTTGGGAGGGGCGAGGGTGACGGAGGAGCTGTAGCCCATCTCCGGCTCCATCCCCAAGTTCTCCGTGAAGGTGAGCACGTGCCGAAGTCCCAAGTTGGACTGATGGCGAGCGACTACGAGGGTGACTGTCTTGGCCGAGGACGTCAGGATGTCAACGGCCTCTACAGTAGCCGTCCAGCCCTTGTAGCCGTCCTCCATGGCGTTGAGCGCCTCTCCCTCCATGGGCTCGATCACCACCTGCTGCTGCACGGCCACGAGCTTGCCCTTGACCTCGGGGAACGGCTTCAGCTCCACCTTCTGCTTCCTCAGCAGCGTTCGCATCGCCATGATGTCTTCCCTGTTGCCGGTAGCGATGAAGCGCCCTTGCACGACCGGCAGGTCGGCCTCGTGCTTGTCCGCGATCTCCCGCAACTTGTTCTTCCCTTCCTCGTCCTCCTTCCCGATGCCGATGGCGTCGAGGTTGATGCGGGAGTCCAGCTCCCGCTCGTTCATGATGTAGTTCTTGAGAGCTTTCTTGCTCGCCTCCGTCGTGTCCTCCACCTGCACCCAGTCCAGCAGCGTGTAGACGATCCACATGTGCATCATGTACATGAACATCTCGCAGCGAGGAGCCATCTCGTCCTGAAGGAAGGTGGGGTGGTCAAAGGGAGAATAACCCCTCTTGCATCCTGTACCTGCTCCTGGTTCTCGATGGCCTTGTCGTACTGTGCGCGCTTCTTGGTCAACATGTCGCTCGCCTCGCGGATGGCGTGGAACTTTGAAAGCTTCTCCTTGTCGTCTCCAACCTGACACGGCAGATCAGAGGAGGAGCAAGGAGAGGAAGGAGAGAGAGGAGGGAGGAGGGAGGAGGGAGGAGGGAGGAGGGAGGAGGGAGGAGGGAGGAGGGAAGGAGGGAGGAGGGAGGAGTGAAGGAGTGAAGGAGGGAGGGAGGGAGGAGGAAGGAGGGAGGAGGGAGGAGGGAGGAGGGAGGAGGGAGGAGGGAGGAGGGAGGAGGAAGGGAGAGAATTGATTTCACCTTGTCAGGATGGAGCTCGATCGACAGCTGCCTGAAGATTCTCTTGATAGTCTTCATGTCAGTGTCCGGCGACACCCCTGATATGTGAAAGTAAGATTGACAACACCAGCAAGAGCAAGAGCAAGGGCAAGGGCGAGGGCAAGGGCGAGGGCAAGGGCGAGGGCAAGGGCGAGGGCGAGGGCGAGGGCGAGGGCGAGGGCGAGGGCAAGGGCGAGGGCAAGGGCAAGGGCAAGGGCGAGGGCGAGGGCGAGGGCAAGGGCGAGGGCAAGGGCAAGGGCAAGGGCAAGGGCAAGGGCAAGAATATTAATGTCTCACCCAACACGGCATAGTAATCTTTCACTCTTGGCCTGGCATTTGCGAAGATGCAAAGGGTCTTGAAGAAAAGCATCAGACGAAGAAAACAAGAGAAACACAAGGAAAGGAGCGGAGCAATAAGGAAACGACACGAGAAGAGAAGACGATGTTGAGGTGAAAAGAGCGGGGAAGGTGTGATATGCCAGGTCAATACCAAGAAAAAACGGAAGAAGGACACAAACAAGAGCGAAAGAGGCAAAGAAAGAAAAAGCAAGTGGAGGAGGAGGAGGAGGAGGAAGAGGAGGCGGCGGCGGAGGAGGAGGAGGCGGCGGCGGCGGAGGCGGAGGAGGAGGCGGAGGAGGAGGAGGAGGCAAGTCGGAGGGGGAAGGAGGGGTTTACCCGGTAGAAGGACTTGGGGAAGTACTCGAGGTAGGTGGGGAAGAACCTCGAGGAGATGCCGACGCTGAGGAATGGCAGACAAACCAACTAGAACAACGTGAGACCGAGCGAGAGCGATGGAGGAGGGGGGAGAAGGCAAGAAGGATGAGGAGTGAGGAGTGAGGAGTGAGGAGTGAGGAGTGAGGAGGAGAGAGTAGAAAGTGAAGGCAAGGACTGATACCATGATCGCGCAGATCAGGTAGAAATGCTGTGTTGGCTTCCACCAGAAGCGATCCTGAATGGTGGGAATGGCCTGTAACGATGTTAGGAAGAGCAGGGTGGGAGAAGAGGAGGAGGGGAGGAAGGGGAAGTTGAAGAGGAGGAGGCAGAGGGGAGGATTTTCGTACCAGCAGGAAGAGGAAACCGAGGAAGAGCTGGTCCATTCCTTGAATCTTCCAGGAGGCGATCAACCCCGCAAAGATGAAGACCTGACAGACCCGAGTCAGTGACGGATACGCAAGACGAGGGAGTGGAAGAGGAGGAGACGAAGGAAGAGGAGGCAAAGAAGGAACAAGAGGTAAGGGGGAGAAGAGATAAGGAAAGAGGGAGTACAGGGATGGAGAAGGCAAAACAACGGGGGAAAGTAGAGGAGAGGAGGAAGATAACTGAAGGAGGGAGTAAAGGAGGAAAGCACTGACATGGGCAAGAACTTCTCCCCAAGTTGTATCCCACATTCTAGTGCCGTTCTTGAGGGGCCTGAAAAGCAACAGATCGTCAAATACCTACTTGTCTCTGCTCCTCCTCCTTCATCCTCCTCCTCCTCCTTCTCCTCCATCCCTCTCCCTCCTATCATCCTCCTTCCTCCTCTCTTACCCCTTTGTTCTGCCTGGGAAGCAGATACGAATCATCGGCACAAGGAACGAGGATAGGTAAAAATTTCCTGACAAATCGATCAGAATCTTCTCCTTTCCTCCCTCTCTCAGTCAATCTCAATCCTCCTCATTTCACATGCATGTGAAATTCTTGTGCGCACAAGAATTTTCTCCTCCTCTTCCTCCTTCATCCTCCTCCTTCTCTCCCCCCATTCGTCTTCATGTTCATCCTCTCACCAAGGACACGCGTGTCGTTCTCGTTCCAGTAGCAGAAGGCCAAGAAAATCCACACAATGATGGTGTCTCTGATGGCACTGAGAGGAGGCAAACATCAGTGGAGAATCCACATGAGGGTGGAGGGATAGGAAGAGGAGTGGACGACATGACAAAGACGATGACAACAAGGAGAAAATCAAGAATGAGAAGGGAAAGATGATGATGAGAAGGAGTAAGAGGACGAGGGAGGCAGGAGGGAGGCAGGAGGGAGGCAGGAGGGAGGCAGGAGGGAGGCAGGAGGGAGGCAGGAGGGAGGCAGGAGGGAGAAGCGTCGAGGCAATTTTACCTGTAGGTGAAGGACACATAGTCTTCCAGGGAAATCTTGAGTTGGACCTGACATAGGAAGTCAGAAGAATCTAAATGATCTTGGAGGAGGAGGAGGAGGAGGAGGAGAAGTAGAATGAGGAAAAGAGGGAGATTGGCGGGGAAATGGGTGGGTTGGGGGGAGGAAAGCAGAAGGAGGGAGGGAATTGGGGGTAGGAAGGGAGATGTGAAGGTTGGCGGGTGAAACAAGCGGGAGATTAGTTTGGTTCACCTTCACATCGTCTTTCTTGTCATGATAAGCCTGAAACTGATCGACAACTCGTTTGAGAAGAGGACCTGGTACAGTTCCATCACTTGCTATCCTCCATTCCCTCCTCCTCCCTCACCCCCGCCCCCCTTCACCCTTCACCCCTTCCCCGTCTCCTCCCTTCCCCCCTCTCCTTCTCTTCTCCTTTCTTCTCCCCTTACCAAAGATGAAGGGAAGGTAGAAGCTAAAGAACTTGAGATCTCCGCGGATGAAGGCGGGGATGAAGAGGAAGGCGAGGCGGTACCAGTTCCAGCCGTGAGTGACTCGCTGAAACCAGGCGATGAAGGGCTGGAAGCGCACGAGCGCCCTGTTGAGGGCGTCCATGACTGAGGCCAGGAGCTGCGTCTTAGCGTCAGGGGGGTTGAGGATGCAGCAAAAGGCAGGCAGAGAAACGTTTGTGAAAATTGTGCACCACTGCCTCACAACGACCATGCTAGATCTCTCCCCCTCTCGCTCCCCCTGCCTTGATTTAGTTTCGGCTAACTCGTGCTCAGTCTGTACGAGCTGGACTTGTGAGCGCTCCTATCATACCTCCCCCACTTGACATGCACGTGTACCATGGTTTGCATCGACTTGAACTTCTCTTGACAACGCTGTCCCTCGTAGCCTCCACCTGCTTCTCCACCTGCTCCTGGCTGTCCTCTCTATCATCGAACCTCTAGCTCCAAGCTTGTCTCCTCCTCCTTCCCCTCCCCCCCTCCTCCCTCCAACCTCCTCCTCCCTCCATGCCAGAGTAGACCTGGAGGAGGCCGCCGGCACCCAGGAACGAGACCACCCTGAAAAAGAGTACCCTCATCTTGACCAAGATTTTTAGGTTATCATCAGGGGTACTAATAGATCTTTTTTTCATTTATTGTACTAGCTGGAGATCTTCTTTTTGTACCTATGGTACAAAAGCGTCCCAGAAAAGAAATGAAAACTGTTAAAAACATTTTAAATGAAGAACTGTTGGGATAGCGATCTCTCCCTTACCCCCCAGCCCTTTTGAGTGTGAAAGCCTTGGACGGATACTCGCGGATCCTCTCGCGGATCCTCTCGCGGATACTTTTGTTTCGGATCACCGTGCAATGCCTGGCCATCATTCCATGGTGAAAGCTTCAAAATACTCGAGAAGATTTCAAATTTCGAAGGTCTAAATTTGAAGTTTGTGAAAATGTCCACAAGGATGTTTGATCGGAGGCTTTTTCATGGCCATCAGTCGTGAGCGAAAGGGTGGTGGTGGTGGAGGAGGAGATGAAGGAGGATGAGCAGGAGGAGAGGATAATGAAGAGAGGAGAAGAAGAGGAGGAGAAGAGGAGGAGAAGGAGAGGAGGAGAGATCAGGGGCAGAGGAGGAGGAGGAGGAGGAGGAGGAGGAGGAGGAGGAGGAGGAGGAAAACGGGGAAGCGGAGAGGAGTAGTAGTAGCAGGGATCAAGGGCAGAGGAACTACCCATAAGGATCCAGATCCTGCAGAAGCAAGAGACAGCAGAGGGAGAGCAATTGAACAAGTCTAAGCAAATGCAAGTAACTTGAGAAACTTTGATGACGTGTCGAATAGATGAAGGCCAGGACCCTTCAGGAAGACCACGAGGAATTCATCCGAGCAATCAAAGAGGTAACGCTTGGTCTCGCTCTCCTTGTACACATGGCTCTTACTCAAGTTGATGCACTTGATGTAACTTCACTTACGCTCTGACTTGTAGTCTGACTTGTACTATGACTTGTTCTTGTGATCGCTATGCACTCAGTGAGCCTCAAACTTGTAGCAAGTGTACTTTGCCTGCTTGCCTCACGCTACCGTCCTTGCTCTCCTTGTTTTCCTCCTCTTCGACTCTCATGCTCCTGCGTTCAGTTTGCGGTCCCATCAGCTCCCGCCAAGTCGCATGCTCCCCGCAAGGTCAGTCTTTTGACTCTTTGCCATGTCGGGGGTGACAGGCGGTCAGGAGGCGGACAGTCAAGTCATCCTCCAGGTCAGCAGAGACATCCAAGAGTCGCATGCATGCAACAAACTCACGGGACTTGCCAGGAGCTGCGAAGGCTGAGACTGCAGCAAGTGATGCGAGCTAGAGGACGAGGACGTTGCTGACGCTCCTGTTGCAAGCTACTTGCTGTCCTCCACGTCACCTGGGTTGTGTTCCGCCCCATCGTCCTCCTTGGAGTCTTGGGGTTCCTCCTTTGCTCCTCCTGGTGCGAGGAGGGGATGGCTTGAGCTCGGGTAACGAGTCTCGACAGGTCGCTCGCGAGCATAGCGGCTCTTGCAGGTCTGATCGCTGCGTGATGCTCCGACTGCTGACGTGCCGTCACAGCGAAAGTTTCCCTGCTCGGGCTCCTGGTAGCCGAGGGAAGGAGAATGCTGCAGGATCCAGTGTATCATCGGAGGTGATGACCAACCATCTTGTTGCTGCTGAAAGTTGTCTTGACGTGTTCTTGGTCTACATCAGCCTGCTGGGCGATGATGGAAGCTTCCCTGGTATGATGAAGGCAGATGTCATTGATTGCGATCTTTCGGCTGCCATGGCTGAGGACCGATTGTCTGTTGTGCAGAGATCTCGTTCAATACTTGTGGAGTGTTCGGGAAGCGTATGAAGAGCATCATGGACTTGTGCTCCTTCGAACACTTCAGATACTCACCCACGTTCTGGTGCCCCTTCCTCTCCCATCGCTGCTCCCCTAATCTCCCTCCTTTCCTCTTTCCTCTTTCCTTTCTCTCTCCTCTCTCTCTTCTCTCTCTCTTCTCTCTCTCCTCTCCTCTCATCTCCACAAGTCCCCATCCGCTCGCTACTCTACTCGACGCTCATCGTCTCCCTCAGGCTCCTCAACGGCGACATGCACACCATGCTACCCGTGCTGGTTCGCCCCATGAAAAGTCCCACCTCTGACTTTCTCCGAGTGCGGCTGAAACTTTCAGGTCGACTCTCGTCCTTCCTCTCTCCCAGCTGACCATGGAGGAGCAGAAGACTCTGATCAGCCGCTGGACATCGCTATCCCTTCCAAGGCTGCAGCCAGCACCGTCAAGAGCTCCAAACTTCTCCTCCTCATCCTTGCCGGTTGTGCTTGTCGGAAGCAGAGGGTCGGCTGAGGGAGGCGCAGGAGTGGGAGGAGACTCGCGGCAAGCCTACATCTCAGATCTGTGCAAGAGAGCGGCGGAGGTGTCAAGGTTTCGATGAGGAAGCTCAGTTGACAGAGAGCAAACAGGAAGGACATTTGTGCGCTGTCATCGTATCAAAAGGATTTCTCAGCGATGAAGTAGACAGCGTCAAGAGGTAGAGTCTTCCAACACGTGACTGACATGCTGACGTACACATCTCCTCCTCTCCCCCCCCTCTCCCTCCTGCTTCCTTGTCTTCCTCCTCCTCATCGCCTCCCCCTTTTCCTCGCTTCACGTTCTCGTCTGCTTGTCGTCTTGTCAGGATCTTCTCTCCCTGCGATTTTGATTCGCTAGAGAAGACTGTCAACATCACCTGCAAGTCAGCACAGTCAGGTAAGAAGATATGTCCTCTCCTCTCCTCTCCTCTCCTCTCCTCTCCTCTCTCCTCTCCTCTCCTCTCCTCTCCTCTCCTCTCCTCTCCTCTCCTCTCCTCTCCTCTCCTCTCCTCTCCTCTCCTCTCCTCTCCTCTCCTCTCCTCTCTCCTCCTCTCTCCTTTCTCTCCTCTCCTCTCCTCTCCTCTCCTCTCCTCTCTCCTCCTCTCTCCTCTCTTCTCTTCTTTCTCCCTCACTTGTTTTTCCAGCCTCTCTAAAAGTGATGTCTGTCGGATTTTCCATGGGAGCCATCATGTGGCTTACGTACCTCGTGTTTAATGGTTCGAACATGTTCTAAAGTCTTTATGCCAGATATCACGGCAAGAAAAAGTCCCCGGAGGTGATTCCAAACAATGTTGCTACTTTGGCTTGTTGAGATGAGATGAGATGAGATGAGATGAGATATATCATGTTTGGGCATACTGGACTAGAGATCATTAGCATACATTTTTTTGACAAGTACGTCAGAACATGATTGGGTGTATATCTGTCGGCAGTGCCATGAAGATGGATTTCAGGTGAAAAACTATTTTTGCTCGTTACAGTTGTTTTCTATCTACTTGTTATGATTGTGCGATCTGATGTCAGTATGGTTGGACGATATCCAAGAATCATACAACCTGCTCTTGGTGAGGAATGAAATCTCACATTGCCTTTCCTCTCCCTTCTTGTACTCTGCTCTGCTCTGCTCTGCTCTGCTCTGCTCTGCTCTGCTCTGCTCTGCTCTGCTCTGCTCTGCTCTGCTCTGCTCTGCTCTGCTCTGCTCTGCTCTGCTCTGCTCTGCTCTGCTCTGCTCTGCTCTGCTCTGCTCTGCTCATTCTACCGGTTGACGTGAACATTTCATCAGTGACCGAGCTTGTATCGGATATTATGGCGAAGTACGGACATGAAATCCTCAGACTCGTCGGTAAGGAACCGGAGGGTAAGGGACTAGAGAGAGCACAAGCTTTAAGGGGGGCGCGATTTAGGAGGCAGGAGGCAGGAGGCAGGAGGCAGGAGGGGACAACGAAGTGGATGAAAATAAGGGGAATGCGGCTGCTGTGGTGGAGGAAGAGGAGAGAAAGACGGAATGACATGAACGGCAGGGCAAGACGGCGTCAAGAAGTTCTGCAGATCGAGGACCTTCGCGGATCTTCACAAGAATCTTCTTTCAAAGATCGGAAAGAGCGACGAGCAGAACTTGTGGTTTTGGATGGAGAAGCAGGAGGTATGCAAGGGTGGATGAATAGAGGAAGGAGGACCGAGGAGGAGGAGGAAGAGGTTGTGGTGGTGGTGGCGGTGGGATGAGAAAAGGAGGAATTACGGGAAAAGAAGAGGGCACCTTGATGAGAGAAAGAAAGGCGAGAGAGGGAGCAGGAATAGAAATAGCTGCTGCTGCTGCAGTCCTTGTGGGAGCTCTGACGTCAATCAACAGCCTCACAGATGGAGGAACAAGATCTCTATACCGACGCTTATCTTCAACGCTAAGGTCTTCCAATAATCCCAAAGGCGATCTAACCTGCTCCCAGGATGATCCCATGCACGTCATGGAACAGTGTGGATTTGAAAAGGTCTGGGCCCTTTCCCTCCCTCCCTATCTCCCTCCCTCCCTCTCTTCCTCGCTTCCTTTCCCTCTCCTCCCTTCCCTTCTTCCATACTTTGACTGATCTCTGACTTTGAACCACCAGGAAACTCCTTCTAACCCCAATGTCGCTTATTTCCTCACACAAGCTGGGGGACATATCGGATGGTAATCGATTAGTTCGCCTGCTTCACAATCTGTTGTGCTTGCCTTACACACTATTTCTGCTTATCTGTTCTCCCCCTTCTTGCTCCCTACCCCTTGTTCCTTGTTTGCTTCTCCTCGTCCCCTTTCCTTCGCCTTCGGTTCCTCGCTCCTTATTCTCCAAGACATTCGCCTGACTATTGGGATGAGGTGTGAGGGAATGAGTCTTCGGAGCACAAACTACATGGTGTCGGTGGTAGGAGAATCAACTCGACCGATTCGTCCATTTCCTCCCTCCTCCCTCCTCCCTCCTCCCTCATACCCTGTCTACTCCTCCTGTTCCTCAATGTCCTCCTACTGTCCTCGCTCCCTTGCCTTTTCTGTCCTCCTGCCTTTCTTTACTGTCTTTGTGCTCCTTTCAGATCCTGCGGTATGCCAGGGCGTGCAAGTGCGAGCATGACAGGAGGGAAGGATTGTTGAGCAGCTGGTGAGAGAGCAAGAGAACGAGAGAAGCAGGAGGAGAGAAAGAGGAGACGTGGGAAGATGTAGATAGAGGAATGGAAAGTGGGACAAAGGAATGCTAAGGGAGAGTGGGAGAGAGAGGGAAGGGATAGGAGCGGATTGGACGCATAAGGAGGGAGACACAAAGGAGCAGCAGCAGAGCATTCAGGAGGCTGATGAGGCAACAGGGAGGATGCAGTTTGCTGCCTGCACAAGGAGCTGGAAGATCGAAGAATGCAAAGGTATCTGAGACGTTCCCCTCCCATCCTCATATCTGCTTCCCACCCCCCAGGCTCTTGCAAGACAGGTTCTGGTACTCCATCTTCATGGCAGGGAGGTGAAAGAGTTCTTGTTCCCCCCACGATCCCCTCTACTCCCTTTCTTCTCCCTGCTCTCTCCTCCTCCACCAAACTTGATTCTTCTCTCTCACGATCAAGCTGCAGCCTCTTCGTCCTCTCCATCACCACCTTTCTCCACCTCTCCACCTTCAAGACCCTGGGCCCTCCGACTGTAATCGCTCGCTCGTCTTCTCTTGTCTCTGAAGAAAACTTTCAGCTCGTCAAGAACGCCCTCATGGTAGGGTTCGCATGCTTGTTTGCCGAGTAAGACGATACTTCCATTGCTGCCAGTACCTCATCCTCTTACCGGTTTCCTCCAGAGTCTGCTACACTCTGTTCGCCTCCACGAGCTTCCTCGGTCACTTCTCAACCTACTCAAGGAAAGTCGCTAACGATGACGAGACTTGAAGGCAGAAGGAAAACTCTCTTCTCTATTGCAATCAGTTTAATGTGACAGGTATTTACAGGAAAGCTTCTAAATCAGATGTTAAAGCATACAGCGGCGCCTTTACAGAAAATTGCCGTAATCGTCGATCGACTTTTCTGTCGGAGAAACAGGGAACAAGACCGGGTCGTATCCCCCTCCTTCTCGCAGGAAACCAAACTCAGTGATGGACGGTTGAAGATGAGAATTGTCTGCGCCATGGCTGTGGTTGTTGCCAAATGGATGCAAGGACACCTGGCGTTGCGGCGCGGAGCAGTGTTTCTCATGACGGAATGTGTTGACTTCTAACAAGACGTGCACTGTTGCTCGTCTCTTTAAATGGACCTCTGATATCGTGTGAATCATAACAATCCCCCTTTCGACACAGCGGATTTCTCTTTCACTTCCTCCTAATGTTAATTCCCCTTTCCGCCGTGAGATGTGATTGTTATTGTAAGAAAGCTCCAATTGCTGAGGCCTTCAGTGATGCAGTATCATTCCCAGGCCTCGGCAGGCCAAACAGTTTCAAGATGAAATCTACCAGGCCACTTGAGGATTCTCAAGGTAGTGGGAACTCGTTCACGCCTGTTGAGCGAAATAGGAAGCGAGGGAGGATCACGAGGAGGAGGAGGAGGAGGAGGAGTAGAGAGGAGAGGAATGTTGGGTGGAGGGGAATAGAGATCGGTGTCCAAACAAGAGGATAAACAAGCACAGGGACGGGAACAAGAGGAATAAGTAGTATACAAGGGATCAGGAGCAGGGATGAAGGGTGATTAGAAGGCCACTTCCAAGAGGCTTTATGTAAGTTGCAATGAGGGTGGGGGGTGGAAGTTTGTTGAAACAGACAAAATATCATGAGCAGGGTAGGGTCTAGGGCTATTTATATTAGAAGATTATTAGAGATATCTGTGAGCTGAAGGGGACTGCGAAAAATGTTTGCCGTGTAGTGTCTGTGTGGTTAGGGGTCGGTAGGTGGGGTGGTCAGGATCCTTGTCAGCGAGATTCCTTTTTAAAAGAAAAAATATATGTTTGAGATCGCAGAGTTCGAAGAATTGTCTTTTGGAAGAAAAGAATTCCATACGATCTCCAATACTTAAAGCAAGATTTATCCGAATTCTTGGGAGTGGCTGAGGAAATTTGAATTAATCACATTGGCGTTCAAACTTGAATTTCAAGGTAGAGACTGCTTCATTGGAAGATACCGAGGAGATTTCATAGCGAGGGGTGGTTGACCAGGGGGTGGTTGATGAAGTGCCGATTGTGATTTCAATGTGTTACAGAGACTATGGGGTAGTGGGATGGAGTTGAGGGGGTCCGGGTGCTGTCACCTCATACGTAGTTAAATGACGCCAGCAGCGATGGGGGGTGGTTTTTCAGTCAAGCAGGGGTGGGGTAGGTGCTACAGTTTATTCCTGACGACAGTGAGGCTTGCAAGAACCGAAACCACGTTTTTTCGACTCAGTGACGTCCCTTTGCCCCCCCGTGGGGGCATTCAGGCCCGCCTCAATATCCCAACAGTCATGGTCTCTCGTCCCTCGGCGGGGCTACCACCGGTCCTCTCCCCCCGGGTTAGTAGTAGTAACTGGCTGTCACGAGGGGCAGGTTTTGAGATCGGATCAGGGAAAGCCAAACGGTACTGGGGCCGGCCCGGGAGTCCGTTTTTCCGAGTTCAAGTTTACAGCCCACCGGAGAGGAGGCTGAATTTATTACTCATCAAAGTTGAGTTATCTTTAGATTTACAGTATACAGTCAGGTTTAGTTATTCATTATAGCAGTCACGAGTGTGTGCCACCGGACTTGGACTCCCGACTCGGCCCGGCCGGCCCATGGGAGCTGCTGGGGCGGACTCGAGGTGGCTGATTCACCCGGCTTTCGCGGTTTTGCTAAGGGTTTGTGGAATGCGCCCGCTGATCCTAGTGATGCTCCTGGCGATAGGGGCAGGGGCAGGAGAGCAGGGGAGGCAGCACATGCGCCATGGTACTCGGGCATCGGTATCTGCTATGGTGGTGTGCCTGCGAGGAGGGACAGAGGAGGAGGGGAGGGGATCTACACTGCTGCACAAACGCGCGCTGGAGGTCGAGGGGGTGGAGGAGGAAAGTCGCGCTGGCGTGTTGAAGAAGCAAAGGATCCTGCAGGACAAAACCGAGCAGGACGCGTATGGTCTGGGAAAACCTCCTCCCTCGAAGCACAGAGATGAGATCGAGTCCATGCACGAGGTGGAGCTCTGCACTCTCGCTGCTGCCACCTGACCCATCCATGCCCCACAGGTCCTCAAGGTTCTCAAGAACGCCAGCAGGCTGGAGAAGATGGCAAAGAGCTCGCTTGAGGACCCGAAGATCAAGAAGAAGCACAGGAGGTTTGCAACTACCACCCAAATTATCAGAGTCAGCCCTTCATTCCTGGGGGTCCCTTCATTCCCGGAGGTGTACGAGAGGAGGGTCGAGCTCTGCTTCGACGAGTCCGAGGTGCATGATAAGGAATCTGCTCTCCGTGCTGCCGAGAAAATCATAGAGCAGGTGAGTTGAACCTCACTGCAACGAATGGAGAGCGGGGGTTTGGAGGGGGGGGGGGTGGCGGAGAGATCGTGGAGCGATTAGTTCACCACTGGCTCGTCCTAGGCTGTTCATTCCTCCCTTTCTCTCTCTCTCTCTCTCGTACTCCCTCCTCCACTTCTCATCATCTTTCATGGATTTCTGCTTGTCATGTTGTGCGCTTCCTCGACCTCCATGTCATTAACGTGCATGGGGCAGGGGGAGATGTACAACGTGCGCAGCTATGGAGGGTGGAGCTCTCATTTCCCCTTCTTTGAGAGCGCTGAGCGAAGTTTCCGCGCTGTTCTGCGCTACGACCCCGACAACGTCAAGTTCATGTCCCTCCTTGGCGCCGTGATCTCCCGCAAGGGGCCTGCACAGCTCGTCGGATCATCGATGGGGCTGAGGAGGGGGGAGGAGGAAGCAAGGTGTTGGCAGCGGGAGGCGCTGAACCTGACGGGGGAGGCCTTCCTGCGAAGGAGCGAAGACATGTCTCTGCTGCTGCGGTACATCGCAGTCCTTCGAGACCTCGATATCAACGATGAAGCTGCCAGGTCGCCGCCTGTCGGTTTGTTAGCCTCGCTGTTAACGTTGATATTGCAGAGAACTTGGCCTGAGGATGCAAGTGGATAAAATGCTGTTTGCAATCCGAGGAGCAGCAGGAGCAACGACAGGAGCAGGAGCAGGAGCAGGAGCAGGAGCAGGAGCAGGAGCAGGAGCAGGAGCAGTGGCGGGAGCCACGGGAGCAGTGGTAGAGGCAGAAGCAGGAGGAGCAGGAGGAGCTGCGGCAGAGACCAGAGCAGGAGGAGCAGCAGGACAAAGTGTACCTGGTGGGGAAGTGGACACAGACCTTGATCTGCTCCTCGGAGGACCGAGCAGACCCGTGAAGGTGAAAGATATCTGCCTCGAACAAATCTTCAACATGGTCAACTACTCTTCGTTGGATGCAACCCTCCTTGCCGAGGTGAGATCATGCGAGACGTGAAGATGTAGAAGATGTTGTGTTGAGATGCAGCCATGACTAAGAAGGCTGGTGTTCTTCACTTGATACGCACCATGGTCACATAACTTTCAGTTCTACCTGTCGCAAGGGCATTGGCACGACGAGCGTGAAGACTTGGCCTCGGCATACACTCAGTTCAAGAAGGCCTATGTCACCATGAACAACAACACCAACGTAGCCTGCAGCTACGGTGAGGCCGCGCGCCTGCCCTCCTCCCGCCTTGTTTGATCCACAGGCAGGCCACTGCGTCACGTGCGTATACCTGATGCTCAGAGAGCTGCGAGCGAGGATGGCGGAGGAGATGGACAAACTCGGGCAGACGTTGAGGATAGCAGAGAAGGTGATTGAGGACGAGCAGGAAAGTAAACGAATGACATGCAGAATCAGGGTTACTTCAAGGGGAAAAGTGGGAGAAGAATCCCCGTGCTGAGGAGAGAGGCACTGATATCGAATGTAGCAAGAAACTCGTTGTCTTTTCCCTGTTGCTGATTGTCTGGGAAGGTTACAGAAGGGCTGAGTGAGATGGAACTGTTGCGGGTGCGGATGGGAGAAAAGATGAATGAGATGTACCGGGAAGGTTTTCAGGTACTCAATCACTCAAAGATGGTCGACAAGCGAAGTCCGAGGCCTCTCCTCTACCTCTCAGGTGAGAAGTGGACTGGCTGATACAAACACAGTGGTAGACGAAAGAAACAGATACAGAGACAGAGAGTAACAGGAAGAGGAAGAGGGAGGGGGAGAGGGAGAGGGAGGGGGAGAAACAAGGAGAGGGAGAGGGAGAAACAAGAATAGTGATTTGATATTTCCGTTCTTCAACTCAATTTCCCCCGGCAGAGCTCGAAATGTTGCATCATTCAGACGATCTGAGCAAGGCAGAAGAATGTCTTCAGGTCCAATGCCCTTTCCTGCTTGTCCTTCAACCTCCCTGAAGACCCTTGCCAAAATTCTCAGATTTGAATTCGATCCTCTCCCATTCTACTCTCCTTCCTTTCCTCTTCCCTTCCCCTCTCCTCCCTGTCTCTTTCCTCTCCTGCCCTGTTCCTTCCTTTCCTCTTCCCTCC